TCCCAGAGGTCAAAGAACAAAGTTGCTTGGAGTTGCAAGACCCGTCTTTTGAGGAATAGCAGAATGAAGGAGGGCATCCCAAATTCTCATCCTACAATGGCCATTGCTCCCTTGGCCTGCAAGCCACGGCCGTCTCTGTCCACTTCTGGCCTCTGCCAGTCCTTGCTGGGAAGTCCAGTTCAGGTCGGCCCTTTTTGCCTTCTCTCGCTCTCCAGGCAGACATTCCTCTCTCACTCTGTGAAAAGGAGAAGATGAAAAGGATCCCATGAGACCCCAAACCCCAAAGCAGCAGGAAAAGCAAACCCTTCACCGCAGCAGCCAAAAAGCTGAATGAGGGACCAGGAGCCTCTGGCAAATCCCACCGCTTGCAAGACTAATGCAAGGGCTGATGCTGCAAGATCAGATATCACTATGTTCTGTTAAAACAACATACAAGCTGTATTCAGGGAGAGAGCCCTATTAGTCTGCATTAGTATACGGTGCGCCCTTGGTATCTGCTTTGGTTTGGTCCCAGGTCTCCCCATGGATACCAAAAGCCATGGATGCTCAGGTCCCATTACATACAGTAACCTGCTGCTGCTGCTGCTATCATTATCATTATTATTATTATTATTATTATAAATTTCAGTGGGCTTTCAGTATCCACCAGAGTTTGGTTCCAGGACTCCTCAAGGATATGAAAATGCTCAAGTCCTATTCCATACAGTGAAGGATGATGATGATGATGATGATGATGATGATGATGATGATGATACCAGCACTTTAACCACCATGGCTCCATGCTATGGAATCCTGGGAACTGTAGTTTTATGAGACATTTGGCGTTCTCTATCTAAGCAAAGCAAAGCAAAGCAAAGCAGCTTCATTTATATACCACTTCATATCACGCTATAGGATGTCTAAGCAGTTTACAACTGTGAGCTGATTGCCCCCCAACAATCTGGGTACTCATTTTAGCGACCTCGGAAGGATGCAGGCCTGAGCTGAGCCTCAGCCCTGGCTGGTATTGAACTCGCAACCTTGTGGTCTATGAGTGAGTGGCTGCAGTACAGGCATTTAACCACTGCGCCACCAGGGCTCTGGGGCCATGACAAACTACAGTTCCCAGAATTCCACAGCATGGAGCCATGGCAGTTAAAGTGGTGACAAACTGGATCATTTCTGCAGTGCAGATTCAACCCAAGTGAGTATGTTTGCCTGTGTAGACAATGCCTAAGTCTCAAAGGTGTTACAATATCCCTTTAAACACAACTTTTAGACCACGCTAAAAGTTTTAACATAATTGTTTAATATTAAACTACATTAACTTTAATGGGGGGGGACTTACCTGCCTTCTCCCAAAGTCTTTTTGTTCTGCTGAGATGAAACTACTGATCTGCCTTTAAAGCTTTTTCAGTGATCTATTTATTGGTTTGCAGCTCTGTAGAGCATGGCTCTCATGTGGAAGCTTGCATAATAATTAAATACATTTAAATTTCCTGTTATGAAATAATAGCTTAGCAACAAATGCAAAGCCCAGGCAGGGCTGTCCCAAGACTTTCTGTGCAAATTCAGAGGGTGTTTGCCTTTGTCTTCCTCTAAGGCTGAGAGAGTGTGACTTGCCCAAGGTCACCCAGCGGGGACTCGAAACCTGGTTTCTGGAGTCATAGTCCACCATTCAAACTCAGGCTCTAAGGCCACTCTGCGTGTGAGGATGAGACACCTCCGCTCCTGGTGCCACCTGCCTTGAGATTTGTCTCCTTGCCCAAAAAGATGCACGGCAATTCCCAGGAGCTCCAGCTGGTACCCAGAGACCAGGCAACCCATCATCCACGTTCCAGCTGGGGCGGAGGGAGGTTTTGCACCAGTGGCTGGTGGTGCCGCAGACTCACCGTTGTCCGTCATGTCCAGCAGGTCTTCCATTTCTTGCAGGAGACGGAGGTGGGAGATCTCTCGCCGCAGGGCCTGGCGCAGGTTTTTGGGCAGGATGCCCATGCGCTCCAGGGTCTCCTCCGTCAGCCGCAGCAGGGCTGTAATAAGAACTTGACCTTGGGGAATTTATAATTAGCTCAAAAATAACAAATAGGATCTGAACCCATTGTACGCAAGGAGCTAGAGGGAACAGTTCCTGCAGAGACAGCAATTTTCCAAAAGAATGGTACTTTTATTAAGGGAGAAAAATCAATCAGTCAGCAAGCACACACATACACAGAGGACTAAACATACAAAGACACCCTAACATACATGCACACACACACACACACAAGAACTCAGGAGTAAAGTAATTAGCTTGGATAGGAGACACAAGGCTTTCTAATGGTGATAATTACCTGAAAGGAGGCTGCTAAACCCCTGTGCCTGAGATTTTGGGGAGCATTTATACCAGGGGTAGGAGCTATTGGCCAACATGGGACTATTGGCCAACATGGCT